GCTCGTTTCAATTAAAAATGCATGCTCTGATGGCTTTTTGTTTTGGATTTTTCATAAAACCAAAGATTCGTAGCCTGCTTCTATAAGGAATCATTCATGTAGCTCAGCTCAGTTCATAACGGATGTGCTTGAGGCGCACTTCAGTCATGACTTGCCACATGCAGCATATGCAGCTGCTCAACTTGCCGCATCACTCACTCGCAAATGCCCCCGAATAGTGCTGACTAAGCAAGGCACCAGGAGCCCCAGAGGCACCACGAATACCACGGCAGAGCAACTCAAGCTGCAACTGCAGCAGCAACTAAACAAGAGCAACAACAATGTGGCTTTAATCGCTGACAGTGGAGCAGAAATTAAAGTGCTCGGGAAGCTGTACGATTTTTAATCAGAGCGCACAAATGTACTTTTGAATATTAAAGGAGGCAACGAACGGACAACTTAACTCAAAGCAATCAACGTTCTATAAGTCAAGCGCCGTCTCGCATCTACTGCTGCTGCTGCTGCTGCTGTTGCTGCTGCCAGCTCTGATTTTGCATCAGCAGCCCGTTCTGCAGCTACTCTGTCAGATTTCTGTGCGCACTTCATTCAAGTGATGCACGTGCATTTTTGTTCCTTTAGTTTTGTTTTTTTTTTTTTCGGCATTCGCAGGCGGATGCAGCACACAAAAGCTCAAGGATACCGTTGCCATTTTGGCAGCAGCCTTAAAGAGTGAAAGGAAACGAAATCAATTTGCGCTTTGATGTCTGATTCCAGCCGAACTCAATCTGCGATTGTTGCAATACTCCATCCAGCCCGAGGCACATTTAAGCTGGCCAATGCGCTTAATTCGTAGTATCGCACATACGCCACGTAAGACCAAGACGCAATTAAATTATGCATCGCGCTCAAAGGTAATGGAAGCGATAGCAATCCGGCAACATCCGCGTATGCATATCCAATTAATCAAAGTGCAATAGCACTAATGAACCTTTAACGCTTCTGCTCAAGCTTAAGCAGCATTATGTCGGAGCAGTCGCTAAACGCATTACCCACGGCAGGAGACCATCGCCGCACGGTGTCCTGCGGCTCTGCCCCGCTGCTGCTGCCGCCACTTCATCCACGACCGCAGCTGGAAGCTTCCAGGCTGCCGGCTGTTGCTATAATTAAATTTATTATGCAAAACCAGCAAGTCAAGCATGTTGTTGCTGCTCTCGCAGTGGTCGCAATCACTTGAAACTAGTCGCGCATCCGTATCCTATCATCCGCCTTTGGCATTTTCTGACCGCTCTGACGCCTCTCGCCAACGAGGTGTGCATCAAAAATAACTGGAATATTATCATTTTACTCAGCTCGACCGTTAGTACAACGCCCACGCACAGCAGAATGGCCCAACTAATGGAAAAT